ATTTAAGATCTACTGTCAGCAACCTTTAAGTAAACAATATGGTACTGTTAACTATAGTCACCATGCTGCACGTTAGATCCCCAGAACCCACTCACCTAATAATTGGAAGTTTGTACCCTTTGACCAAGAGCTTCTCACTTCCACTCCGCAGCCCCTCGGCAACCACCATTCTGCTTTTGTTTTATGAATAACTTTTTTAGATTCCACATGTAAGTGAGATCACACAGTATTTGTCTTTCTCTGTCTGATGTATTTCATTTAGCATATGCCCTCCGGGTTCATTCACGTTGTCACGGATGACAGAATTTCCTTCTTTCTTAGTGGCTGAATAATATTCCATTGTGTATATAGGCCAATTTTCTCTATCAGTTCATCCATTGGTGGACACTGAGTTCTTTCTACGTCATGACTACTGTGAATAATGGTGTAGTGAACATGGGGCATAAACATCTCTTCAGGATGACAGATTTTCCTTCCTTTTTAGTGGCTGAATAATATTCCATTGTGTATATATACCAGTTTCTTCTATCAGTTCATCCATTGGTGCCCACTGGGTTGTTTCTATGTCTTGACTACTGTGAATAATGCTGCAGTGAACATAGGGCATAAACATCTCTTCAGGGCAGTGATTTCATCCCCTTCAGATCTAGACCCAGGAGTGGAATTACTGGACCACCATCAGAATGGTTTATTTTTAATTTTTTGAGCAACCTCTATACTATTTTCTATAGTGGCTGTGCCAATCTACATTCCTAGCAACAGCGCACAAGAATTCCCTTTTCAAGGAGCTCTTTGTTAATGGAAAAACTCTACAATGGCATCATGAAGGTAGAATGGTCCACTGTTTGTTTTTTAATTGGGGTATAGCTGCTTTACAATGTTGTGTTAGCTTCTGCTGTACCGTGAAGTGAATCAGGGATATGTATACATCTACCGCCTCTTTTTTGGATTTCCTCCCCACTCAGGTCATCACAGAGCATTAAGTACAGTTCCCTGTGCTACACAGCGGGTTCTCATTAGTGATCTACTTTATACATATGAGTGCAGATAAGCCAATCCCAATCTCCCAATTCATCTCACCCTGTAGTGTCTCCCCTTCCCTCCTTAGCATCCATACATTTGTTCTCTACATCTGCGTCCCTATTCCTGCCTTGCAAACAGGTTCATCTATACCATTCTTCTAGATTCCACATATATGTGTTAATATATGACATTTGTTTTTCTCTGACTTACTTCACTCTGTATGACTGACCCAGCAATCCCACTATTGGGCATATACCCTGAGAAAACCAAAGTTAATAAAAACACATGTACCCCAATGTTCACTGCAGCACTATTTGCAATAGCCAGGACACAGAAGCAACCGAAATGTCCATCATCAGATGAATTGATAAAAAAGATGTGGTGCATATATACAACAGAATATTACTAAGCCATAAAAAGGAAGGAAACTGAGCCATTGGAAGAGGCAGGGGTGAACCTGCAGGCTGTCATACAGAATAGTCCATCATTCCATCCACCTCTGAACAGTGAACTTCGTGGCCCCTAATCCCAGCCCTCAGAGAAGAGGCCGGGTTCATTCCGGGACCAAGCACAAACCACTAGTGCAAAGCTGGGGCGAAGAAGGATGAAGCCAGGCTGACAGACCTGGGGATCCAGTTGTACAGGCTGTCACTCGAGAGGGCAGGGAGAAATGTTGATGTCTAACTACCTGCCAAGGGAGGGAGAGACTTCTGAGCTCAACACTGCAGACCTTGAAAGTGGAAAGATCCTAATCCCACCTGCTTCACAGGAGCAAACAGGACTCCACTCCCTTCTGCCTGCAAAGATCCTCCTACTCATCACTGCACTTTATTCTTAAAATAAGATGGTTTTGAATGTTTCAATGCTCAGCCTGGTGCTCTGTGATGACCTTGAGGGATGGGATGGGGGATAGGTAGGAGGGAGGTTCAAGAGGGAGGGCATATATGTATACTTAGAGCTGATTCATGTTGTCATACCGCAGAGACTAACACAACATCATAAAGCAATTATCCACCAATAAAAAAAAAAACCTATGATAAACCATAATGGAAAAGAATACTTTAAAAAGAATATCTGTGTGTGTACATATAAAACTGAATCACTTTTCTGTAAAACAGGAATTAATAACATTGTAAATCAACTACTTGGGCATGCATGTGAAGTCACTTCAGTTGTGTCCGACTCTTTGTGATCCTGTGGACTGTGACCTGCCAGGCTCCTCTGTCCAAGGCATTCTCCAGGCAGGAATACTGGAGTGGGTTACCATGCCCTTCTCCAGGGAATCTTCCTGGTCCAGGGATTGAACCAGTGTCTCCTGTGTTTCCTGAACTGGCAGGCAGGTTCTTTACCACTAACACCACCTGGGAAGTACAAACAACTATACTTCACTAAAAATAAATAAGGAAAAACCCCACTGTACTAGCCAGTACCAGATACTAAGAATCACTGTAAACAATAAACCAAACCATCGAAGAAATGAGAGAAATCCATATTTTAATTTCACATCTCCAGTGTGATGAACAGAGAACAGAATGCAATTATACAGTGGAAAATGCAGCAAGAAAACTGGGGGAAGCATCCATTCTAGTGAGAATTAAATCACTTTGAAAGAAGCACTGGCCAAACACAAAGGTGAAAGGGTAACATTCTGAAAGGAACACTGCGTGGATACATGTAGTCGCTCAGTCACGTCCGACTCTTCGTGGCCCCATGGACTGTGGTCCTCCAGGCTCCACTGTTTGTGGTATTTTCCAGGCAAGGATACTAGAGTAGGTTGCCATTTCCTACTCCTCGGAAGCTGAAAGTAACACTAAACCCCTTGAATCACATCATAGACTTTTTAGGGCTGGAATGAATATTCGAGATGATTCTCTCTCTTACCTCTCACTTTGCAGATGAGACAACTGAGGCCAAGAGAGCAGTAAACTTGGCAAGACCACTAGGAGCAGAGTTAGGACCAGGATGGAAAATGAGTGGCACTTGAATATCCATTGGGTGACTTCAAAGTAAAAGAGACCCTCCCTAAAGAGGGCTATTTCCATGAGCATGGTTTCTCTGGGGCACACAAGTGCTTCCCCAAAGGAGGAGAATGCTACAAATCTTTAAAAAGCCACATTATAAGGAGCCAACCTGACGCTGGCAAAGTGAGATCCTTGGTCCTGCCGAGCTCACTAACAGCTAAGGTTTTTCTCCAAACCCTTATCAAATACTCTAGTTAATTTCCATGCTAAGAGAAAGTGTGCCATGGAAACTCTCCCAGGCAACTTGCAGCTACTTCAGAAGGGCTGTGGACGGCAAGGGCTACAGTAAAGATGGGCAATGCCTTAACCAGTCTGACTGAGTATCAGTAGATATAAAAGAATATTCCATAGAAGAGCTTTTAAAATTCCTTTGAGATTACACCCGCTGACTTGGTCAGATCTTCCCCCAATCAGAATCAGGGAGCAGGCTCAACTTCTCCACCTGACATTTGGGGAAGCATCTGCAGACACTTGTCCCAGGAGGCCCAGTGTGTCTGCAGGGACAGGACAGAACCCAGGCCCTGGACGACCAGGCAGGGGTGAGCCTGTGCCCGGAAGATCACATTTCCCTTCTTAGAGCCCACGTCTGCCTCTGCTGAGTCTCTTGGCAAGTTTACATTCCCCCCTCCCTGAAAATCTGGGCTCCAAAATGAAGAAGCACACAGATGTCAACTCATCATAAAATTGGCCTTTACACCTGAAATAAACACACAGATTTTAAGGGTACATTATACACCAGGTCTGGGGCGGGGTGCGGGGGGGAGTTTCATGGATTGTTATAGGCATTACCCTGTCTCCTCTTTGAGCCTTCATTGCACACAGTCCACTTGGATGTAAGTTGAGCACTCAACCGTCTCTTCCAGTCATACAAGAATACTTTGAAGGCAGAACTTAAAAAATAAATAACTACAAAAATTCATTTTCCTTCATTTCATGTAAGCTTTTAACCCTTACAGCTTCTTCACTTTCCCACTTCTCATATATGCAGTTCGTGTTATCGATTACTTTCTCCGCATTACCTGGCCCAGCCCTCTCCTTCTCCACACAGCAGAGCACCGTCACCTCCGAGTGGAGCACGTTTACTTCCGAGTGGAGCCCCTTTACTTCCGAGTGGAGCCCCTTTCCTTCGGGTGGACCACCTTTACTTCCGGGTGGACCACCTTTACTTCCGGGTGGAGCACGCTGGATGAAAACGGAACTACTTTGCCTGCGGCTGCGCAAGGAGCCCAAAGGTCGCTGTACACTCGCTGCCCCGCTAGGCTTACAAGCCTCCCACCCCTCCTCGCTGGTCCCCAACCCCAGAGCTCTCTGAACCGACACCTCTCTCCTGGTTTACCTTCAGGAACATTCCAACAGAGTTCCAGGCCTGGGGGTCACCTTGTTTTTCACCCACCTCAGCAGTGACGGAGGAGCCTGGTGGGCTACAGTCCATGGGGTTGCTAAGAGTCAGACATGACTGAGCGACTTCCCTTTCATTTTCACTGTCACGCACTGGAGAAGGAAATGGCAACCCACTCCAGTGTTCTTGCCTGGAGAATCCCAGGGATGGGGGAGCCTGGTGGGCTGCTGTCTATGGGATCGCATAGAGTCAGACACGACTGAAGTGACTTAGCAGCAGCAGCAGCAGTGATGCTCACACCCCAAAATGAGGTTGGAGAGGAAGTCCCCAATGAAACCCACCCCCCAACTCTTCCCACACCATCTCCCCTCACACACTGTGACTCTCAAGCATGCTTGTAGCCCAATATTACAGCAATATGCGAGCTACTTCCAAGAGCGAGTCCCAATTTTATCCTCATCCTCAGTTCAACTGTATTTTTCTTTATTTTCCCACTCTTGCAGATTACTGTTGTCATTCTTGTCCCTAAACTATAATTTCAGAGGCGCATCTAGGCGGCCCAGTCACCTCCCCCACCCGCCCTTCATCAGTGGTAACATTGAAAGCAAGTTCCCTACCTTTCACTGAGGCTTCTCCACAACTGGGCACCTGCAATAGAAGTAAACGTGAAACGTTAGGGGAGGTATTTTCTCTTAAGGCATTTCTCAACTTAGAAAGATTCTGGGCTATTTAAAATGGAATGCTTAGATCTTTAAATTCTGGAAACTCTCAAATCATACAGTGTCTACCTCTGGTACCATAACTCACTCAGGAAAACTGTCCACAAATATCCACTGAGATTCTAATATATGCAAAACCGTTGGATAGGTAGCAGGAGAGATGGAACAGCAGAGAACACATGGTCCTGCCTGGAGGACTGTATTGTCCCGTGGGGCAGACTGCACCTGCACTCAAGTGAATGTGAACCAAGGTGGGGGATGTAGGAACTCTACAAGAAATGTAAGCCATGAGAGTTCAGCGAGGAGAGGAAATGTGTCTGGTCATGAAAGCACCAGTGACAGAGGCGGTGTATGAGGTGAGCTCTGAAATGGTGCTGACAAAGGGGAATCGCAACAACTGTTATTTGAGAAAGGAGACTTTTATCTACTCTTTAAGCGTTTTGAGAGTGTATCTAGGCTCAAATGAAATCAACATTAAAATATATATAGATTCAACCAGTCCATCCTAAAGGAGATCAGTCCTGGGTGTTCATTGGAAGGACTGAGGCTGAAGCTGAAACTCCAATACTTTGGCCACCTCATGCGAAGAGTTGACTCATTGGAAAAGACCCTGGTGCTGGGAGGGGTTGGGGGCAGGAGGAGAAGGGGACGACAGAGGATGAGATGGCTGGATGGCATCACTGACTCGATGGACATGGGTTTGGATGGACTCCAGGAGTTGGTGATGGATAGGGAGGCCTGGTGTGCTGTGATTCTTGGGGTCGCAAAGAGTCGGACACGACTGAGCGACTGAACTGAACTGAACTGATGTATGTATAAACATACACCTAGATCTCATTTGCTTTCTTAATTCTCCAATGACTTTCTTCATTGCACTATGTTTTGATACAAGCTCTAATGAAGTTCAAGGAAAGAAATGGCCGTGAGGTGGTTTCTGCTTTTTTCCATCAAGTAGAGATGCTGTCCCTCTTCTGCTTCAGCGCGTGCGTCTGTGTGCTCAGTCACGTCAGTTTGTCCGACTCTTTGTGACCCTGTGGACCACAGCCCACCAGGCTCCTCTGTCCATGGAATTCTCCAGGCAAGAATACTGGAGTGGGTTGCCATTTCCTCCTCCAGGTGATCTTCCCCACCAGGGATCAAACCAGAGTCTCCTGCATTGGCAGGCGGGTTCCTCACCACTGAGCCAGCTGGGAAGCCCCTCTCAAAGATCTATGTGATAAATTCTTCTTAGAATTCAGCCCCAGGAAGTTTCTCAAAATTGCTTACATCCTTTTATCAGATTATTAGAACTGTATAATTGATATGGGTTCCCTTTCACCTAGGTGAACAAATAAAGAAGATATAGTGTAACATCTTGTGGAAAAATTCAAATGAACTTTTTGGCCAACCCAATATACATATATAGTGGAGTATTACTTGGTCATGAAAAAAAGAATGAAATCTTGCCTTTTGCAGCAACGTGGAAGGACTTGAGAGTATTATGCTAAGTGAAATGAGTCAGAGAAAAAAATTCCACATGATTTCACTTACATGTGGAATCTAAAAAACAAAACAAATGAAGAAACAGAATAGAAACAAACTCACAGATACAGAGAGCAAACTGCTGATAGTTGCGAAAGGGGAGAGGGGTCAGGGGAATAGACAAAATAGGTGAAGAGGATTAAGAGGTACAAACTTCTAACTATAAAATAAATAAGTCATGGGGATGCAGTGCACACACACAGAATATAATTAATAATATTGTAACAACTCTGTGTGGTGACATGATGGATGGTAACTGGTCTTACTGAAGTTATCAGTTCATAATGTATAAAAGAGGGCTTCCCTAAGCACTCAGTTGGTAAAGAATCCATCTGCAATGAAGGAGACCCCGGTTCAATTCCTGGGTTGGGAAGATCTGCTGGAGAAGGGATAGGCTACCCACTCCAGTATTCTTGGGCTTCCCTTGTGGCTCAGCTGGTAAAGAATCTGCCTGCAATGCGGGAGACCTGGGTATGATCCCTGGGTTGGGAAGATCCCCTGGAGAAGGGAAAGGCTATCCATTCCAGTATTCTGGCTTGGAGAATTCCATGAACTGTGTAGTCCACGGGGTTGAAAAGAGTTGGACTGAGTGACTTTCACTTTCACTTTCAGTGTATAAAATATTAAGTCACTATGCTGTACACTCGAAGCTTATATTGTATGTTAATTATAACAAAAAAAAATGGAAAAATGGTTGCTGCCTAAGGGAGTGAGAAAATTAGGATGAGGACAGCAGCACCACCATTACTGAATGTAGACCAGTCTGTGGCTGCTCAGGGCTAAGGATGGGGTGGTGGTGAGAGGCTATGCAGGAATACAGTTGAACTGGGGGCACAGAGCTGGTTCAGTGGCAGTGAGGCTGAACAGAAGGAAGCACCCTCCAGCCTTGGCAGGGGTTGGAGACAGCACTTCCAAAGGCTGAGGTCCAAACTGCGATGACAGTCTAGGGGACCAAAACCAGGCCTTCACACAAGCCATGAGGGCACAAGCTGGAATGACAGCACAGAGTGAGCACAAACGCCTACAGTTCACAGGCCATGACTCCAGGTGGGTCCATGTTCCCTATCAAATGGGTCATGTAGATCTGGCAGGAGGAAAGGCATAAAGGGATGGTGGTTGGCCATGTTCCACGGGAAGCATGTGGGGCCCTGCTGAGTGAGCCCTCCGCCACTGCCCAGGGAAGTAGGTGAAGAGCATCTGAAGACAGTGAGGGGCAGGTGGGGCGGAGTGTGGAAGATGACTGGCTCTTTAGTCAAGACAGAAGGTGGTCAAGGAGAAGCTGAAGGCTGCAGGAAGAGTTTCCCACACCACAGACACCTCCCCAGGGACCAGACTAAGGGGTTAATGCTGGGAGCAGGCACTGGGGCACAAAACAGCAAGACAGAAATCTGTCACAGCCAGAGGGCATTTACACTGGTGACTCAGAAACCAGAGACATGGGGCCCCCTGGGTTTCACAACGATTAAGTTCCAGGGCAGTGTGGCCACACTTTTGCTCATCTATTTCATATTAAGTGTCTGAGATGGTGTTAAAGATATAATGAAGGGAGAGGAGGGATACAATTAAATTCTTAACAAGAGGATTTTGGCTAATATCTTTAGCCAGAAATGCTGTGGGAAGCAGGAAAGTTGGGGGAGCGGCGAGGAGACAGATGGCTTGGGGGTCCTTTCCTCACCACTCCTGCTGAGGGGCCAGGGTGTCTCATGAGAGCCCAGTGCTCTGAATGATGCCAATTCCCATATCTGGGTCCAACTTGAAGCCAATTCTGTGCCTCCTGGAGACCAATTCATCACCACAGGGCCCTGGGCTGAAGGCCTGTAAGACCAGGCTCCTGCCAACCACACGGGGCTCAATAGGTCTTTGTCCTAAAAGACTGGCCCAGAGAGGATGAAGCAGGCCCCAGGGCTCCTTCAGCCACAGACAGGGAGCCCTGGGAACTCACGGGGATGAATCTTGTTTCTCCTTTTCTCCTCATGCAGCAGAAATGCTGAATTGAGAGCAATGTCCCCCAGTGAAAACTCAGACAGAAAGATTGGTCCATTCCAAATGCCGACCCTACAGGCAGAAGCGTGAGAGCTGGACTCGGTCAGAGAGGCACTCACAACAGGCCCTGGCTAGAGGAAGGCCCTCAATATGGACAGACTGATGGGTGACCAAGCCCATGATATTCACATCATGGGTCAGAAGCTGAACAGAGGGGCCCATGACTGATGTGGGCACTTCTTGTTTAATGCTTTTGTCTGACCTCTACACACCCTGTGGCATAAGAAGGACTTTTCATCATAGGATAAAGAGGTTCCGATTATGTAGGAGGATGAATAACGGCCCCAAAAACTATCAGGCCTTAATCCCTGAATCCTGCAAAATGTTACTTTATGTGGAAAATGTTATGTGTGCACATTCAGTCATGCCTGACTCTTTGTGACCCTATGGACTATAGCCCACCAGGCTCCTCTGTCCCTGAGAATTCTCCAGGCAAGAATACTGGAGGGGGAGCCATTTCCTCCTCCAGGGGGTCTTCCCAACCCAGGGATCAAACCCCTGTCTCCTGGAGCTCCTGCATTGCAGGCAGAGTCTTTACCACTGTGCCACCTGGAAGCCCTCAGATATGGAAAATGGGATTAACAAAATGGGACAGTTTTGGGCCATGAGATGGGGACACCATCCCAGATTATCTGGGTGGGGCCCAAATGGAATCACCAGTGTTCCTGTAAGACGAGGAAGGCTGAGGAGGATTTGACACAGGCAGAGAAGGAGCTGTTAGGACCACACAGCAGAGACTGGAGGGATGTCCTACAAGCGAAGGACACCAGGAACCAGCAGAAGGTGGGTCAGATAAGGGCTCTTTCCCGAGAGCCTCTGGAGGGAGCATGGCCCTGCCCACACCTTGATTTGGGCCCAGTGATACTGATTTTGAACTGTAACTGAAGGTGTCAAATTTGTGGTAATTTGTCACTGCAGCCAGAGGAAGCCAATAGTCTATGAAGAGGCCTCTCCATTGCTAAGAAATGGTACCAACTAGCTCTAGGACGTTGGCGTTCTTCCCACCCTACCACCTTAATACTTTAAAGGACTGAAACTTTGCATTGGAGAGCGTTCCTGCAATTCATGATATGAAAGTTCCACATGTGCAACAGCATCAAGCTGGTGAGTCAACACAGGGAACGGTCCTTGTAAGAGTGAGAAAAAGAACAGTCACAAAGTCTTTCCACTTCATCCTTGGCCTCCCCATTTGCCTGTTCCTTATAACTTGTGCCCGGCCTGGGACCAGATCTGTGCACCAGTGCAAACATTGAGATGCTCAGTTTGCTGTGTGAGTCCACTTGCCCTGTCAAGCTAGAATGACTGCGGGTAAAATAGGTAAGTGGTTATTTTCTTTCTTCTAAGAAAGAATATAATCTTTCTTCTAAGATTCCCTTGAGGGAGCTCCTGGAGGGTGAAGATGTTCCAAGCCTATTTGAGAGAAACAGGCTCTCCTCTATTAGTTATAACCCGGGCAGGAACACAGGTATCGCCATGGGTTGATCCCACCAACCCGAGTACAAAGCTCTGCAGCGTGAGGAAGCCCCAACTCTGTGCTGTGCTTAGTCGCTCAGTCATGTCTGACTCTTTGTGACCCCAATGGACTGCATCCTGCCAGGCTCCTCTGTCCATGGGGATTCTCCAGGCAAGAATACTGGAGTGGGTTGCCATGCTCTCTTCCAGGGGATCTTCCCAAGCCAAGGATCGAACCCAGGTCTTGCGCATTGCAGGTGGATTCTTTACCATCTGAGCCACCAGGGAAGCCCCAACTCTAGGTAGAATTAGTATTTCTAGGGTGAAAAGAGAGGCTTCCCCAAGGCTCAGCAGTAAAGAATCTACCTGCAATGCAGAAGACGTGGGTTCGATCCCTGAATCGGGAAGATCCCCTAGAAGAGCAAATGGCAACCCACTCCAGTAATCTTGCCTAGAAAATTCTATGCACAGACAGCCTGGCAGGCTACAGTCCACGGGGTCACAAAGAGTTGAACACAACTGAGCACGTACGCATGTGTGAGGGTGAACAGAAAGTATCAGGTGCCCGGTTAGGGTCAGAAGGTAGACAATTAGAAGCCTGTCCTCTGAAACAGAGAAGAGGGGGGTGAGGAACAGAAGGGCAGGGCAAGAAGGAAGAACATGTACAAGAATACAAACCAATCTACAGACTTGAGAAAAGCAGTGACTGGACAAAACCAAATCTGTTCATGTTCCCAGAACGGGACTGAAGGAATCACCTCCAAACCTTGAAACCTGGCCATGTGAAACAATCTTCCTAAATAGTTTACACGTGAGTTAATTTAAGAACCATAAAGACTTAAATATAAACCGGATTTAAAGTGCACTATAGAACACTGCAGTGTACCATACACTGGCATCACCGACTCGATAGACACGAGTTTGAGCAAGCTCCGGGAGTTGGTGATGGACAGGGAAGCCTAGCGTGCTGCAGACCATGGCATCGCAGAGAGTCGGACATGACTGAGCGACTGGACTGAACTGACAGAACACTGTAGGGGCTTCCCTGGTGGCTGAGACAGTAAAGGATCTGCCAGCAGTGTGAGAGACGCGGCTTCAATCCCTGGGTTGGGAAGATGTCCTGGAGAAGGAAATGGCAACCCACTCCAGTATTCTCGCCTGGAGAATTCCCAGGGCCAGAGGAGCCTGGCTGGGCTACAGGCCATGGGGTCACAGAGAGTCGGACACGACTGAGTGACTAAGCGCTAGCACTGGCACTGCAGAGCACTGTGATGGCGCCTCCTTGACACATGGTGGTGCATCCCTGACCACTTACATCCCTGGTCCCAGGGTGCCAGCAGGGAGGCCCCACCAGCACCCTCAGTGTCCCCAAAAGGGGCAGGACCCTGGACAGTTCTTATGTGCGTCCACCCATAAGGACCCCAGCCAAATTATCCACTGGGGTTACATTCAGTGGAATCAACTGCGTCACTGTAACCCACTCTTGGCTACTTTTGATCAAATCAATCCTAGTCCACTTAATTTCATGGAGCCCAAGTTTTCCAAGCAGGGATTTTTGCCTGCTTACAAACACTTGCTCAAACCTTCGTAGAAAGAAGTCCCCCATCCCAAGTATGGAAACGCTTGACTCAGATGTATAGCATAGTTAAATCCTAAACAATTTTTTTAAATAATTCAAATTTTCACTTGAATTTTTTCTTGAATTTTTTAAAATTTGGTGTTTAAAGTGAATTTATTTTTTCACTTCATTTAAAAAAATGTATTTAACCACGAGTTAATTGTTATTAACGCCTGAACTCATTGCTTTTCTCCACTGAGACAGAGAAAAAGTTTACATCAACTAGCCCATTTTCCAATGTCCCAGTTTCATCATGTGGGATGTAATAAATATTTAACTGTCATCCTCACCGCAGCCTACTTGAATATCAAAATGCTATTCAGAATAACAGCACTCGGAGCCAACAGAGAAACCAGCACATTCGAACCTTTTGCCCAGCAGCAGTTATCACTAAGGACACATCAGTTCAATAAATGATGAATACTAAATAAGTTTAATAAATTTAAAAGTAACACTTAACAAACATTTAAACTAGAAAAGCCAGTGCCTATACTATCTGTTATTTTGTTCCTTTTCAAAGACCACTTGGTTAAAATATCTACACAAAGGTCAGACATTCAGGATCTAGAAAGTTAAATACCATAAAAATAAATTCAAAGTTTTCTTACCTCTTGTTCTAGACAAAATCATATCCTTTATTATCTGCATAATAACACGTGTAAGGATCATGACGGAAATCAGGTGATACACTCTCCATGGAGTCAATGCAAGGAACCTATCACAGCAAAAACAGACAAATCATTGTTTCAATTTGAGGATTTTACCTTTTTTAAACAATTAGGTTTACTTCTGCCACAGAAACAAAAAATAGATTCAATAAACGACTTCACTTGTCAAAAGCACCCACAATGTGACCATATGAAAGATACTTGGGACTTCCCTGGTGGTCCAGTGGTTAAGAATCTACCTGCCAATGCAGAGGACACAGGTTCGATCTCTGGTCCAGGAAGATCCCACATGTCCAAGGGCAACTGAGCCTGTGCATCATAGCTACTGAGCTCACAATCTAGAGCCCATGAGGTGAAACTACTGAATCCCATGTACCTACAGCCCATGCTCCACGACAAGAACAGCCACCACAATGAGAAGCCCGAGCACCGCAACTAGAGAACAGCTGCCACTCGCCGCAACTAGAGAAAGCCTGTGCACAGCAACCAAGAGCCAGAGAAGCCAAAAATTTAAACAAGAAAGAAAGCCACTTAAAAGGCATTAGACTCAGTGAAAGAAAAGCACCTGAGCCATCTGTACTTTTGTGCCAGGCTTTTCTGCTCTAACCTTCCATCTGGGCAGAGGATTTGCTATCTTGGGTATGGCCCAAATAGCACTCTGCACTCTGCTAGATGGAATAGAACTGACCCAGAGCAGAATCATTATAACAAAGGCAGAGCTGCAGGGCCTTCTCAAGCACAGTCAGTCAGTCAGTTCAGTTGCTCAGTCGTGTCCGACTTTCTGTGACCCCATGGGCTGCAGCACGCCAGGCTTTCCTGTCCATCACCAACTCTTGGAGTTTACTCAAACTCACGTCCATTGAGTCGGTGATGCCATCCAACTATCTCATCCTCTGCTGTCCCCATCTCTTCCTGTTTTCAATCTTTCCCAGCATCAGGGTCTTTTCAAATGAGTCAGTTCTTTGCATCAGGTGGCCAAAGTATTGGGAGTTTCAGCTTCAGCATCAGTCCTACCAATGAATGTTAAGGACTGATTTCCTTTAGGATGGACTGGTTGGATCTCCTCGCAGTTCAAGGGACTCTCAAGAGTCTTCTCCAACACCACAGTTCAAAAGCATCAATTCTTTGGCACTCGGCTCTCTTTATAGTCCAACTCTCACATCCATACATGACTACTGGAAAAACCATAGCTTTGACTAGATGGACTTTGTTGGCCAAGTAATGTCTCCGCTTTTTAATATGTTGTCTAGGTTGGTCATAACTTTTCTTCCACGGAGCAAATATCTTTTAATTTCATTGCTGCAATCACCATCTGCAGTGATTTTGGAGCCCAAGAAAATAAAGTCTGCCACTTTCCCTTGTTTCCCCATCTATTTGCCATGAAGAGATGGGACTGGATGCCATGATCTTAGTTTTCTGAATGTTGAGTTTTAAGCCAACTTTTTCACTCTCCTCTTTCACTTTCAAGAGGGTCTTTCATTCCTCTTTGCTTTTTGCCATAAGGCTGATTTCATCTGCATATCTGAAGTTATTGATATTTCTCCCGGCAATCTTGATTCCAGCTTGTGCTTCTTCCAGCCCAGCATTTCTCATGATGTACTCTGCATATAAGTTAAATAAGCAAGATGACACTATACAACCTTGACGCACTCCTTTCCCAATTTGGAATCAGTCTGTTGTTCCATGTCCAGTTCTAACTGTTGCTTCCTGACCTGCATACAGATTTCTCAAGAGGCAGGACAGGTGGTCTGGTATTCCCATCTCTTTAAGAGCTTTCCACAGTTTGTTGTGATCCACACAAAGGCTTTGGCATAGTCAATAAAGCAGAACTGGATGTATTTCTGGAACTCTCTTGCTTTTTCAATGATGCAACGGATGTTGGCAATTTGATCTCTGGTTCCTCTGCCTTTTCTAAAACCAGCATGAACATGTGGAAGTTCTCAGTTCATGTACCGTTGAAGTCTGACTTTAAGAATTTTGAGCATTACTTTACTAGTGTGTGAGATGAATGCAGTTGTGCGGTAGTTTGAGCACTCTTTGGGATTGCCTTTCTTTGGGACTAGAATGAAAACTGACCTTTTCCAGTCCTGTGGCCACTGCTGAGCTTTCTGTATTTGCTGGCATATTGAGTGCAGCACTTTTACAGCATCATCTTTTAGGATTTGAAATAGCTCAACTGGAATTCCATCACCTCCACTAGCTTTGTCCGTAGTGATGCTTCCTAAGGCCCACTTGACTTCACATTCCAGGATGTCTGGCTCTAGGTGAGTGATCACACCATCATGATTATCTGGGTCGTGAAGATCTTTTTTGTACAGTTCTTCTGTGTATTCTTGTCACTTTTTCTTAATATCTTCTGCTTCTTATAGGTCCATACCATTTCTGTCCTTTATCAAGCCCATCTTTGCATGAAATATTCCCTTGGTATCTCTAATTTTCTTGAAGAGATCTCTAGTCTTTTCCATTCTACTGTTTTCCTCTATTTCTTTGCACTGATCACTGAGGAAGGCTTTCTTATCTCTCCTTGCTATTCTTTGGAACTCTGCATTCAAATGGGTATATCTTTCCTTTTCTCCTTTGCCTTTCACTTCTCTTTTCACAGCTATTTGTAAGGCCTCCTCAGACAGCCATTTTGCCTTTTTTCATTTCTTTTTCTTGGGGATGGTCTTGATCCCTGCCTCCTGTACAATGTCATGAACCTCCGTCCATAGTTCTTCAGGCAGTCTGTCTATCAGATCTAATCCCTTGAATCTACTTGTCACTTCCACTGTATAATTGTAAGGGATTTTATTTAGGTAATACCTGAATGGTCTAGTGGTTTTCCCTACTTCTTCAATTTAAGTCTGAATTTGGCAATAAGGAGTTCATGATCTGAGCCACAATCAGCTCCCAGTCTTGTTTTTGCTGACTGTATAGAGCTTCTCCGTCTTTGGCTGCAAAGAATATAATCAATCTGATTTCAGTGTTGACCATCTGGTGATGTCCATGTGTAGAGACTTCTCTTGTGTTGTTGGAAGAGGGTGTTTGCTATGACCAGTGCGTTCTCTTGGCAGAACTCTCTCTGGGGTCCCCTGCATTGCCGGTGGATTCTTTACCAGCTGAGCTATCAGGGAAGCCTCTTCTCACAGAGAGTCACTAAAGTAGATGTCCTTTACTTACTATCCTGTCTTAGTTTCTGTTTTATACCATATTCATTTCTTTAACTCCTACCCCTCTTCCCACCAATCTCTTAAAAATAGCAGTTATTAGGAGCCCAGTTTGCCAGCCCTTTCTAATATCACTGCTCTTTTGTCTATCGGCCCACTTCCTCTCCAGAAGAAAACAAAGAATTCTTTATGATGAACAGCACACAAACCCTACAGTACTTTTTTGGTTTGTTTGTTTTTGATTGGTTTTATAAAGGAATAAAATGGCAAAGAAGTCACAGCGAGCTTTGAGTCTTCGTACAGAGGTTGAAGCCCATTTTACATAAGTCACTTGGTTAAGCTGCTAATTAATACTTCTTTGCAATTCTGTGAACTGAAGCCTTCCAGGTTCCTCTGTCCATGGGATTCTCCAGGCAAGAAGACTGGAGTGGGTTGCCATTTCCTTCTCCAGGGGATCTTCCCGACCCAGGGATTGAACCCAGGTCTCCCGCATTGCAGGCAGATTCTTTACCGTCTGAGCCACCAGGGAACCCTTTCACTTGGGGCAATCGTAACTCAGAAAAATTAACAGATATATCACTTAGTCCTACTTGTAAAGCAGTAGAGGATGTATTAATATAAAGAAGCAAAGAATACATGAAAACTGCCTTCTAGGAACTTACTTCCTCATCAGAGAAATGAACACAGGTTATGCTAACAAAGTCCAAGGCAATGAGTCTTAATGCTATGGCAAAAAATGGGCAAAGAGCAAAGAGAAGCAAAGGAGGAGAAAGTATTAACTCCAAATCAGGGAAGATCTAGAAAAGTGGCACTGAACTTGGTCTGGGAGGATGGATGCAATTCAGAGGAAAATAGAAGCTAAGTTCCAATTAGTGGATATAACCTGAGTAGAAGATTCAGATAAGAGTGGGGTGTCCCTGGGGCATGCAGGTGGTCTGGGGTAGCCCCGCCAGAAGCAGAAGGATAAAGAAGAGAGTTGGGAGACTGGCAGAGAGAAGAAATTGAGGTGCCAGGCTCGGGGCTGACTGTGGCAAGCCCTGAAGGATATATAGGGAGTTTGGTTTTAACACTACTGACAGTAGAGAAAAAGCCAAAGGAATAGAAGAGGAAAATGAAATTGAGTGATTTAGGGAAATGCCTGAGGGCAGCAGTGAAGATGAGGTAGATAAGGAGGAAACTGGCGTTCAGGACATCTATTAGAAGGTTATGCAATGTGCTTGATGATAAGTGGCCAACATGAGATGCTGGTGAAGTTTTGAGTAAACCCTCTCCCAGAATGTGGGCAACCCAAATTCAAGGTCTGGTTCTAATGCTAATTATCTGTGGTTACTAATTGTAACCACAATTGTAACCAGGTCACTGTGGGTGACCTGGGCCAGAGTGGGTAGAATAGGTCAGTGCTTCCTAAGTATAGTTCTGCAACTGTTAGCAGCCTGGCTGCCTGGAAAGCTTGTTAAAATACAGATTCCCAGACCCCAGGCTCCTCCCCCCAGATCCTCTGAAACAGGTGGTTTATTATACTAGTATTTACATTCAATAAATATCTATTTATGGGGGCCTACACTGGGCCACTTCATGGCAAATAATTGAGGAGACAATGGAAACAGTGAAAGACTTTATTTTCTTGGGCTTCAAAACCACTGCAGATGGTGACCACATACATGCTTGCTCCTTGAAAGACCGCATACAAGATGCTTGCTCCTTGAAAGAAAAACTATGACAAACCAGACAGTGTATTAAAAAGTAGAGACATTACTTTGCCAGCATGGGAGATGGTGAAGGACAGAGAAGCCTGGTGTGCAGCAGTCCATGGGGTCGCAAAGAGCTGGACATGACTGAAAAACTGAACACCACCACACGGAAGTGGCAATTCTCAAAATTTTTGATAATGATCCACTATC